CGATTAGAGGAACAAACGAGAACATCGATCTCAAATTTGCAAAATTCCATATAATTAATTGCCTGATGATGGCGAAAATTCGAAACTTTTGCAGCCTGTAAACCTGACTTTTCTCCGGAACATTTTTAGCAAAATGAAGCTTTTTTTCCCGTCCTTTAGTGAGAAAAAAATTGATAACTTAACATCGTTCTCAAATTTGTAAAATTCCATATAATTGCCTGATGATGGCAAAAATTCGAAACTTTTGCGGCCTGTAGGCCCAACTTTTCTCCGGAAAATTTCGTGAAAAAAGTTTCCTCCACTGGTTTAGGGAGAAAAAAATTGGAAACTTTCGATTAGAGCAACAAACGAGAAAATCGATCCACAACTTGCAAAACTCACTCAAAAACCGCTCACTCACACACTTAGATAACTAAGGGCGTGGTTTAGCTTGCAGCGAGAGCTCCCACCAATCGCATCGCGACTCGCGGTTCGTCTATGGGCGGTACCGGCAGCCCCCCACCCGCATTCTTCATCCAGTGCCGTACCGACAGCCGGAGGAGGAGGGCATTTATGAGTCGGCCGACCATGAGAGGGGCTCGGCCGGCTGCCAGGACACGCCCGATAGCGAAAGGTACGCCCCCTACTGCCTATTCCCCCTCCTAGTCTCTTGGGCGATTGTCTAGCGCAAATCCTACCGACTGCGCCACTTTTTCGTTTAGCTCCGAATGAAGGGCTTGATGCAAAAACCGGACACCCTAACTTTTCCGGATTTTACCGTAGGTATTAACAAGCAAAAAACCTAAACTGTTTTATATGATTAATAATTGATAATAATAATTGAAACATTTTTTTTCTTTGCTTCATATTTGTTTCGCTAAGTTTTAGGGTTCTGAACCGATTTTTAGGACTGAAGGACCGAAAGTTGGCAACGCCGACCAGCTTTAGAACGCATTTTAGTTTTTCAAGATCTGTCCAATAGCAAGCGAGTTATGAGCCATAGAGTCGCTGTTTCCAACCTATTTTTTGCCTCTTCGACATTTTTCGCCATATCTTTCCGCGTTTTTAATCGATTTTAACGATTGAAACACCCAAAGTTCGGGCAACTGTCCAGCTTTAGTGTGCAGGTTGGTTTTTCACAATCCAACCGTTAACAAACGAGTTATGAGCCATAGAGTCGCTGTTTCCAAACTATTTTGTTTGCCTTGCCGGCATTTTTTGCATAACTTTCTGAGTTTTTGCCCGATTTTAAGCCAAGCGGCTTTAAAGTGCATTTGATTTTTTCAAAATTCCTTCAAAAACTTCTGCTTAGAGTCTCGGTTTCCAAAGTAGTTATTTGGTCAATTTTTTCAGAAGTTGAAAGTACAACAACAAACGGGATCAAATTTGAAATTATCGATACATTTTGCATGAAAATCCACAGTTTCAAACGATTCTTGCTCTTCATCATTTTTTCGATAACTTTCAGGTTTTTCAGACGGTCTTAATATTTGAAAAGGTTGGAGAAACTGACGAGCTTTAGAGTGCATTTTGATTTTTCAAAATCCAACCGTTAGCGAGCGAGTTACGAGCCATAGAGTCACTGTTTCCCAACCATTTTGTTTGCATTTTTGAAATTTTTAGCTTAACTTTCATGGTTTTTGCCAGATTTTAATGGTACAATCGGTGAAAGAAAGAGAAACTGACTGGCTCTGAAAAGCATTTGGGTTTTTCAAAATCCGGCGAATAACAAGCGAGTTATGATCCCTAGAGTCGCTATTTCCAAACGATTTTTTTGCTTTTTCAACATTTATCGCCATAATTGCCAGGATTTTTACCCGATTTGTATGCCCGGAGCTCTGAAACATAGAGAAGCTAAGCGGCTTTAAAGTGCATTTGCGTTTTTCACAGTATGTCCAATAACAAACGAGTTACCGGCGATAGAGTCGCTGTTTCCAAACTAATTTTCATCAAATTATTTCAGCAGTTTAAAGTACGCGAACAAACTGAATTAAATTTGAAATAATCGGTTTGTTTTACATGAAAATCCGCAGTTCCAAAAGAGTTTACTTCTTCATATTTTTTTCGATATCTTTCAGGGTGTTCAGCCGATTTTAACAATTGAAACACCGAAAGTTCGAGAAATCGACTGGCTTTTAAGCACATTTTAGATTTTGAAAATCCGACCATTAACGAGCGCGTTATAGGCCATAGAGTCACTGTTTCCAAACCATTTTGTTTCCCTTTTCAATGTTTTTAGCATAACGTCCAGAGTTTAAGTCTGATTTTAATGGTTCAACCGGTGGAAAATAGAGAAACCAACCGGCTCTAAATTGCATTTGGGCTTTTTAAAATCCGTCTAATAATAGGCAAGTTCTGATCGATAGAGTCGCTGTTTCCAAACGATTTTTTTACGTTTTTGACAATTTTTGCCATAACTTCCAGGATTTTTGTCCGATTTTCATAGCCGGAGCTCTGAAAGATAGAGGAGCCAAGCGGCTTGAAAGTGCATTTAAGTTTTTCACAATATGTCCAATAACAAACGAGTTACGAGCCATAGAGTCGTGGTTTCGAAACTGATTTTTTAATCAAATTCTTTCAGCAGTTTAAAGAACGCCAACAAACTGAATTAAATTTGAAGTAATCGGTTTGTTTTGCATGAAAATCCACAGTTCCAAACGTGTTTAATGTTTCGTATTTTTTTCGATATCTTTCATGGTTTTCAACCGATTTAAACGATTGAAACACCGAAAGTTGGTAAAACTGACCGGCTTTTAAGTGCAATTGAGTTTTGGAAAATCCGACGATTAACGAGCGTGTTATGGGCCATAGAGTCACTGTTTCCCAACCATTTTGTTTGACTTTTCGATATTTTTCGCACAACTTCCAGGATTTATGCCCGATTTTAATGGTTCTAACGGTGAAGGATGGAGAAATTGACCGGCTCTAAAGTGCATTTGGGTTTTTCAAAATCCGACGAATAACAAGCGAGTTATGATCCATAGAGTCGCTGTTTCCAAACGACTTTTTTGCATTTACGACGTTTCTCGCCATAACTTCCCGGATTTTTAACCGATTTTTATGCTTGGAACTCTGAAGGATAGAGAAGTCAAGCGGCTTTAAAGCGCATTTGAGTTTTTCACAATATGTCCAAAATCAAACGAGTTCCGAGCCATAGAGTCTCTATTTCCAAACTAAGTCGTTAATCAAATTATTTCAGGAGTTCAAAGTACGTGAACAAACTTAATTCAATTTGAAATACTTGGTTTGTTTTGCATGAAAATCGACAGTTTTAAAAGTGGTTTTATTTTCGTAGTTTCTTCGATATCTTTCAGGATGTTCAACGGATTTTAAAGATTGAAACACGGAAACTTGGAGAAATTGACCGGCTTTTAAGTGCATTTTGGTTTTTGAAAATCTGACCATTAACCAGCGCGTTATAGGCCATAGAGTCACTGTTTCCAAACCATTTTGTTTGCCTTTTCGATACTTTCAGCATAACTTCCATGGTTTTTGCCCGATTTTAATGGTTCAAACGGTGAAAGATGGCGAAGCCAAGCAGCCTTAAAACGCATTTTATTTTTTCAATATCAATGCAACATCAAACGAGTTACGAGCCATAGAGTCGCTGTTTACCAACAATTTTTTTGCATTTTCGGCATTTTTCGTCGATTCTTCAAAATTTAAATGATCGAAACGCGGAAAGTTGTAAAGGCGGATTTCCACAACTTTTAGCGTGTTGGAAAAAAAAACTATAAATTCGTTGGGAAATTTTGCAGGGGACGTCAGTGCAATTTTCATATTTTCGCCAGTTTTATGCCCAAAAGCAAACGAGTTCCGAGCCATAGAGTCGCTGTTTTAAACGAATTTTTTAGTCAAATTATTTCAGCAGTTGAAAGTACGCGAACAAACTGACTTAGATTTGAGATAATCGTTTTTTTTACATAAAAATCCACAGTTTTTAACGATTGAAACACTTTCAGTTGGGGAAACTGACCGGCTTTTAAGTGCACTTGAGTTTTTCAAAAGATGTCCAATAACAAGCAAGTTATGAGCCATAGAGTCACTGTTTCCAGGCAGTTTTTTTGCCTTTTCGACATTTTACGCCATACCTTCGAGGATATTTGCAAGATTTTAGTGGTGAAAACGCTGAAAGATTGCGAAGCCAAGCAGCTTTAAAAGGCATTTGGTTTTATCAATATAAATCCAAAATCAAACGAGTTACGACCCATAGAGTCGCTGTTTACAAACAATTTTTTTGCGTTTTGGTCATTTTTCTACTAAATTTCATTTCAACTAAAACATGCCACGCCTTAAGGGTGGAGGTTGAACAAAATAGGGGGAAAACCGCTTTTGCCTTGTTTCTATTCCAAAACTTTGTGGTCTCTGTCAAAGTTTCCGCAAGTTCTGACGCAGTTTTTCAAAAAAATCCTCCGGGGATTTAAGGGTGGAGGTCGCAGAGAAAAGTGTAAAAAACTGTTGTTTTGCTGATCAACTTTGCAACGCTGCCAGCCTTTGAAAAAGTCTGGAACCTTTGAGGTAGATTAAATGCAGTTTGGCTCAGCTGGAAAATTCACCTTAACCTCAACAATTGTCCTGTTTCTGCGCCAAGCCCGTCGAATATTCACTACTCGCGCGCATTCGCCCGGGGGGCGTGTCCTATAAAACAAGCCTCGCCCCTTTAG